CCCTCCCACCCATCAGTGTGTCTGACCTTACCTGTGTCTCTGTCTAATGGGATCTCCTTGTTTGGGCTCAATAGCGGATGTTGTTCAGTCTCATGGTGGTGTCTTCATGGACAGTTCGTACCCCTCATCCCCTATAACGGGCCCCCTCTCCCGGGGCCAACGGAGGGCCAGTGAGGTCAGCATTGCCAGCCAGGTCTCAGGAATGGCAGACAGTTTCACTGCCACCAACATAGCCAACAGTAAGTGTTCTTGCTACCGACCAGTCTCTCTCTCTTCCTCCCACTCACACAAACTCTGCTCTCACTTATTTCCCACTTTCTCTTGCTCTCACTCCCAACTTTTCTCTGTTTCTCAGACCTTTTTTCCCCCCACTTTGCTACACCATCTTTTTCTCTCTCCACCTCTGTTACTCTGACTCTACACACACCCTGCACTCCACCTGGAGCCGTCTTAGTCAAGACAGGTACACATGATTACTCGTCCTATTTCTTGCATTGTAAGGACGCCGGGTGTTCAGCCCTGTTTTTGTAATACTACTAATTTATGAGCCGATTCAACTCAGAGTCCTACAAAAGAGCAAGCTTAGAGCCACTTTCCACTGTCTGTCTTACTCTTATCCACTGTCTAAACGTAAATGCAATGACCGAGTGCTGCATTTATCTAATGTTTCAATGCATGTGGACACCTGCTGTCCTCCCTCAAACCATTCCTGCATTGTCCACCACCTACTGCAGTGTTTGCTGAGATGATCAGCACTGTTTTCTCTTTGTTTGATTGTCYACCAAAGTCCCTCCTACCCTTCAGTTTTTTTTTGTTACCAGAACCTTTATTTGTAACTTACACTACCGGTTTGTGCACTGATATGAACAGCATCACTTAATGTGTGATTTTACTTCGACACCAGAAGATCTTCAGCAGCATCAACTTGTTTTGTTACCTTACTAACAATTATTTTTCACCGTAGATGCTCACAGTTCTTTACAAAGGAGCCTGTTGCCTCTGGATGCGTTTTAGCATCACTCTGCAAATGTTTAAAYTGTTATATCTGCTGCATATTAAGATGCATACATTTTTTTATATGGTTTTCTCTTTTTTCCCCCCCTTATAGCCAAGTCAGAGCAGATTAACCAAACCAGAATGTCCAGTCTTTTGTCCCAACTTGCCCTAACGTCACAAAACAAATTCTTCCTGAAAAGTCCTCCTAAGGCCCGTAAGAAAGCAGCGGCGGGCCAGGCTGCAGATTCTCCCGATGCAGATCTAGTTATGGAGCTGGATGTTGAGGCAGACTCTAGCGACAGTCTAAGTCCCACCTCGCAGTACGCGAACATCCCGTCAGCCGGGCTGGATTCTGCTATATGTGATCTGGTCTCTCTGGACTCCCAAGCTGAAGTTGAGCAAGGTATCTTTCTGAGGGAGTGGGGGGAAAAACAATCACAGCGAGGCTTCAGGTGTTTTCTGTGTGCTGTTCTACACTATCCAAAGCCCAACGCTGCACTTCCAGGAAGCCTTTTTTTCTCTCTCTTCTACTTGAATTCTTTGGCAACAATTAATTCTCAAGGATTCAAGTACAATCACTTTTCACTGAGCAGGAATAAGGTCTGGCACTCTGGTTTCAAACTATCTTTTTTTTGAATCTGCACTAACATCAGTAGCTGCTCATAAACTCACGTGTTAGATTTTATTTATCTTTTCTTGTTCAATTCAATGCATGATTTTTCTCTTAACTAAAATCATAAACGCTTTCCTTTCCCACCTGCAGCTGAAGGACTGCTGGAAGTGGTGATGATTTGATGATCTCTTCTTCTTTTATTTTTTAGTTGCAAGGGCTTTGCACCTTTGTGTGGCATCATGCACCTCACACTGATTCCCACCGTTTCATTCTTATGTTTCTGCATCCTGTTTAATCTGTTCCCCTTTGCAGTTGCAGCACGTTGGTGGGGTACAAAGCGGCTGGACTTTGCCCTGTACTGCCCCGACGCTCTGACTGCTTTCCCCACCGTTGCTTTGCCGCATCTCTTTCACGCGTCCTACTGGGAATCCACTGATGTGGTGTCTTTTCTCCTGAGGCAGGTGAGTGACGCTGACTAAACTTTAAACAGATCCCTGATTAGTTGTAACATTAAACTTTATTTAATAAACATATATTTTAACTGTAAAATAAAGACTGTAAAAATACTGTAGGCTGTTTAGTTTAGTAAATTTTTAAAAATATATTTTGTAGCCATTTTATTTACACACAAAGCGTTCTGCATACAGTAAATGATGACGTGGATAGGTCCTCGGTGTGAACGAACTAAATCCACCCTGAAGGTTAATCTTGGACAATATCTGACGATCGGCTCTTTTAAATGAAACCAGAGAGCGTTGACAGAGAGGAGAAGGTAGAAATGACTCAGCCTGTAACTGAAAATATGGATGGAGGACAACAGAGCTGCTTCATGAAGAAGAACCTCAGCTTAGCCTGTTAGCCTTTGCGCTAGCATCGACTCTATATTGCCTTATATGTATTAGCTCGGCGCTAGCATGACAAACAAGCTAAAGTGAGGTCCTCCATCCATATTTTCAGTTACAGGCTGAGTCATTTCTACCTTCTCCTCTCTGTCAACGCTCTCTGKTTTCATKTWYAWGAGTCGATTATCAGATATTGTCCAAGATTAACCTTCAGGGTGGATATAGCTCGCTAGCAGCCTCRTGCCGATGACCTATCCACATCATCATTTACCCAGAATACTTTGTGTGTAAATAAAATGGCCCTGTCCGTGTAATATAATTTTTAAACTTTTAGTTTAAAAATGATGAAAAACTGAACATCCTACAGTATTTTTGCAGTCTTTATTTTACAGTTAAAATATGTGTTTATTAAATAAAGTCTAATGTTACAACTAATCGGGGATCCCTTTAAAACGCAGCCTGGTTGGCTATAACGAGGATGACTCACTGAAATCTCACCTGTAGGTCATGCGGCACGAAAACTCCAGCATTCTGGAGCTCGATGGGAAAGAAGTGTCTGAATTTACTCCCTCTAAACCGCGAGAGAAGTGGCTCCGTAAGAGGACTCATGTCAAGATCAGGGTGGGTCTGAGATCAGAAGAAGCCTTCTGCTCCTGTAGGACAGAACTGCCTCCTTCAGCGTGTTTATGTCTCAACTTTGTTTCACAGAACGTGACGGCCAACCACCGTGTGAACGACGCCGTGTTCACTGAAGGCGACTCGCAGGTCATAACGGGTCGCTTCATGTACGGACCTCTGGACATGGTGACTTTGGCCGGGGAGAAGGTCGGTGCAGGATCTTGCGTCATCTGTATTTTGTGTTTGCGCCCCTCGTTGATTTATAAAACGTGCGTGTGCGTTTTTTGTAATTGTGCGCAGGTCGACCTCCACATCATGACGCAGCCTCCCTCAGGAGAATGGGTGTACTTCAGCACAGAGGTGACGAACAGCAGCGGTCGGGTGTCTTTTAACGTCTCCGAGGACAAGCGCCTGGGCATCGGAGTCTATCCTGTGAAAATGGTCGTCAGGTGACGCGGGCTTTATACGCCCTTTCCTTTTCCTGTTTGGTTGTTTTTATTTCCACATCTCAAGCTGCTTTCTAATTCTTGTTTTTTTTTTTTCTTTTTCTATTCTAGAGGTGACCACACATTTGCAGACAGCTACCTGACCGTCGTTCCACGTGGCACAGAGTTTGTAGTGTTCAGCATCGACGGTTCGTTTGCTGCCAGCGTGTCCATCATGGGCAGCGACCCTAAAGTGCGAGCAGGAGCCGTGGACGTCGTCAGGTATCCCGCTGCTCCTGTCTTATTTGGTTTGGTTGAATTCCAAGATTTCCTTTCATACAGACGTTTACCCGTGTGTTGCTTACAGACACTGGCAGGATTTAGGCTACTTGATCATTTACGTGACSGGACGTCCAGACATGCAGAAGCAGCGGGTGGTGGCCTGGTTGTCTCAGCACAACTTCCCGCACGGCATCGTCTCCTTCTGCGACGGCCTGGTCCACGACCCGCTCAGACACAAGGCTAACTTCCTCAAGACTCTGACAGAGGTGGGGTTAATGTATTGTGCAAATGTTTTAAACCACCTATGCTTTGCTTTCGAGGAGTCAAACTAGACCCTGATCTTTAGAAGTAGRCTTGGATCAGTACTTCTTTCGGCTTTCTGAAGTTGGGAGGTTGTATAAAACATAAATAAAAATAGARTATRATGATTTTCAAATCTTTCTCAACCTAWATTCARTTGAATTMGCTATAAAGACAAGATCTTTAATGTTCAAACAGATTAAGTTTTTGAATTTGATGCCTGTAACRTGTTCCARAAAAGCTGGGACAGAGGCAGCAAGTTAAGTTTTATTTATTTATAAAGCACCCTGAATGCTAAAAGCAGCTAAAGGTGCTAGGGTTGGGCGATAAATTGATTTAATCGATTAATTTGAATTTGCTGTTTATAAAGATTTAATTTTGGGAAAATCGAGATTTTTTTTTCCCACCAGCGCACTCTTTGGGGCTTCTGTAGTTCAGAGGTCACCCCACCTGTCTTTCAAAAAGCTTGGTACACAACATGTCAATATGGCAGCTAGCAGAGAGGATCTACTTCTCAAAAATGCACTGTTTCTTCAGTTTTCTGGRACTGGTTAGGTTTTGCAACAATCACCTCRCTGCAAAATCTTTTTAAAGGCTCTTTCTACAAAAAGCAGGAKTACAACAAATTAGTTTCAACACCTAAAACAGAGGCACTCTGTKAAGTGGGAAGCAAAATYGATTAAAATAGAAAATCGAAATTAGGATGAAAAAAATCAGAGATTTTTCTTTTTTTGGGCCGTATCACCCAGCCCTACAAGGTGCTCTACAAAATTATACACAGTAAACAAAAGACTGAGAAAGTGGAGGAATGCTCAAAAAAACAAACACCTGTTTGGATCATTCCACAGGTGAACAGGTTAATTGGAAACAGGTGAGTGATGTGATTGAGTATAAAGGGAGCATCCCCGAAAGGCTCGGTCATTCACAAGCAAGGATGGGACGAGGTTCACCACTTTGTGAAGGCACCATTATTGCTGAAAGCTACATACATGTTTTAGAGCAACATGTRCTGCCATCTAAGCCACGCCTTTTTCAGGGATGTTCTGCTGATTTTAGCAAGACGATACCAAGCCACGTTCTGCACGTGTTACAACAGCGTGGCTTCCTTCTAAGTGTGTGTGTACTGGACCGGCCAGCCTGCAGTCCAGACTTGTCTCCCTTTGAAAATGTCTGACACATTACGAAGCCCAAAAATATAACAACATATTGTTGATACTAAAAAAAAAAAAAATTGTCAAATTATCTGTTAGATTTTTTTATAGATTCAGCTAAAGAAGGGGAACAGTTTTTGTTTTTGTAATAAGCTGTAACAACGATCCTAGTTAAAAAAAATTTTTTTTGCCTTGTGGCCTGATATTGATCCACAACACTGGTTCTTCTCTCAGGTTTAGCTTGATTGATGCATAAGCTGCAAAATAACTATTTGAACAAAATCTTCTCTCAAAGTGGTTAAGAACTGGGCTGAAAAAAGGTGGGAATAAAAAAAAACGTAAAAAAAAGAAATGTGGATTGATGTGGAATTTTTTCACAGCACCGTTTCTTTAATTAATAAGAAAATCAACTTTCCATTTTTTTAAATTGGTGCATTGCAGGCAAATATGAAGATTTTTGCTGGATATGGGTCAACCAAAGATATCTCTGTCTACACCTCAATTGGCCTTCCTCCTTCTCAAATCTTCATCGTCGGCAGACCCTCCAAGAAGATGCAGAGCCAGTGTCAGGTAGGATTTGTTTATTTTAATAACCAGGGTTCCCACGGGTCCTTGAAATCCTTGAAAGTTTGTGAATTTGAAAAAATGATTTCAAGGCCCTGGAAAGTTTGYGAAAACAGCCAAAAATTACACTTGTCCTTGAAAGTTCTTGAATGTTTTTGGGGATTGAAGTTCTTCTATTCACACGACTGATTTTCATCATCTTTAAAAAAATAATAATAATGAAATTAGAAAAATATTACATTTGTTGTGATTGATAACTTAGGATTATGGTAAACTGACGTGGCTTTCAACAAATAACGTGAGCCGTAGTCATAGTTTTACCCAATCAGAGCAGAGCAGGGCGGGGCGTTCTTTCTGAGCCCAGGTGAGAGCACCACAGCTCCTCCTGTCCTCACCGAGGGTCTGGACATGTTCACATCCCCTCCTCCCAAACTGATCTGCTGAACCTCTAATATAATTACATCTCCTTGTATTGTGGAWATGAATGTAGGGTAAACATTTAATCCACTTTCTTTCATTGATTCTGACTCAACAACTTCTATGTTGTTCAGTTTTTCATTGAATTTACATGATATTTAACCTGTTTATTATTAACATTCTGTGGTAGCAGTAGGTTATTGCCCTCACGCGTGGTTCTTGAATTTGAAGAAATTGGTACTGGAAAATCCTTGGAAGGTCCTTGAATTTGATGTTGACCAAGGTGTGGGAACCCTGAATAACACGCTGATCCTTCAGCCTCTTAATGATTATTTATTGACATCTTGCTTTACTCCGATCCTCTCAACAGTTCATCATCGAGGGATATGCAGCTCACCTGTCCCAGCTGGAGTACAACCACCGTTCTCGGCCAGCCAAGTCCAGCAGCGCCCGCATGGTCCTCCGCAAGGGAAGCTTTGGCTTAGGAGCCAACAGCGACTTCCTGAGAAAAAGGAACCACCTGCTGCGCACCATCTCCTCCCAGCCGGCCCCCAGCTCCCCGACAGGCAACGTCCACAACAAACCCGAGCGCACGCAGAGCCAGTCGGACAGCGAGCGGCTGGAGCGCGAGCGGCTGGAGCGGTTCCATGTCCACGGCCAGGGAGCGGCTCAGCGCAGCATGAGCATCACGGCCAGCTGCTGGGGCCGCAGCAGCAGCACCAAGCTGGAACCTGGTGTTTTTAGCCCAAAGCGAGACTTTTAARGACTCAACAAAGGCGGCGCAGAAAAGACGTGGAGAAACTGCAGGTTCGCACCGCCGCAAAGAAATCTGGTGCTACAAAGCGCTACTTATGAAGTGAACACCAGTCTCATTTAACCCATATATTTAAGGWCAGGCTCATGTCAAAACAGACATTTCAAGAACCGTCCCTTTGCTCCAAACTATGTACGCAACTAGAAAAGAAATCCTACTGTAGAGATCCAGACTGTTTTTTTTTTCCTGTTCAGTGAGTATTTTACAGTCTTGAATATAAGGTCAACACTGTAGAGACGGTTACGCATTATTCACCTCCCTGCAGTAACCTGCAGTTCACAAGAAAAGGTGTTGAATAATATTACAGTTCAAGCACAACAATACAAATTTGAGAGTCAGATGATATTAGACAGAGTGCTTATTTCCTTCCTTCCTCTGTTTTGTTTTAAACCAAAAGAGTGATTGTCATTTATCAACCATTCAGAAAAGAAATTTGTAAAACAAATTCTCTAAAATTTACCAACAGCAAAGACAAGCTATTCAGTTTTAAAAGTCAAGATTTTCAGGACGTTTTCAGCTCCGAGACACACAGACTCTGCTGTGTATCACACGAAGCRAAGTCTGAACTGACCCTTTAACTATTACTGCAGCTGAAACTGTTTTTTGTTGTTGTTAAATAGCATTTTACCACCTACTGTATGACTCAACCATAAGGTAAACTATGACTGTACAGTTTAGGTGCCAAAGTAAACGGTATAGATGGAGCCGAGAGGAAACCACTGAGGTCTGGTGTGTAAAAATGAAAGAGATTGTGTAAGTATGTAGTTAAATGCCCGCCTGAGGCTTGTACATAATTAATATATAACAGTGCAGATCTGGTATCTGGTCCACTGAAGACTCTTTTAAAGGGTCTTCTATACTCTGGGGGTGAACACCAACTCATTCAGGATATATTTTATTTATTGACGATGACACTTGTTGCTATTTAATATTATAGCTATCTTAAAATTCATTGATTTTTGTGAACAAAAAAAGTGTTAAATTACTTTTATGTTTTTTTCTCATTGAACTTGAGTTGCGGCAGCCAAAAAATACAGAAGTTTTTTTTTTTGTTTGTTTGTTTGTTTGCCTGGCACAGTATTGTATTTTAAATTTTATTTTATTTTCCAGATTCACCAGAGTTGTATCCGAACTTGTGTCATATATTGTATGTTTGATATTAGCCATTTTGGAAAATTTGATATTTTGGCTTCTTTCTGGTTATTACTGAGCTGTAAATGAGGCATTGAATGTGCTCTTAAATATCCCTCCATAGGTGACTGTCTCTTTCTTTATGTTGCGCCTTTTAGAGGACGACTGTGTGCAAAATGTAAATTCTGTATGATAACGTTGTTGAAATTAGACCAACAGCTGAGAATCGCTTTATGTTAACTGTTAGTTTCTCAAAYTGGTCAAATTTGATGATTTTTTTTTTCACAATATTCAATCGACAGTTATTTATCCCTATAACAGGCACGCTAAAAGCTGACTGCAGTGGACCAATATTGGCGAAATGTAAAAGGGGAAATGTGCAATATTACTCAGCAGCACCACCAGATCAAACAGGCCACTTAAGGAAACGCCGCTGTGCACTGACAATCAGTCGAACTGCAGACGTCTACAGGTGCACATTTCACAAAATGGAGATTTCTCACAATAAAGTGGCACTGACCTAATGTGTGCAATCACAGGCTTATTTCTGTGGAGAAAGTTTTTTATTTATTCATTTATTTTAATATTTGAATTTCAGCATTTGAGTACAAAAATACTGCAAATTGCAGAAACATCTCTGCAATAAAACCCAGGTGTATGAAGGAAGACTGCAACTTGACTGAAGAGCTTCAGTAGAATTTAAAGGAGTGGGATATTTCCATAAACTGTTTGTGGGAAATTAAACTGAGGAGTTTTAAGAATACTCCAAATTAGAAACTCTCCACTGGAATTTATAGAAATAATGTTTAAACGGTCATACACAAATAAAAATATAAACATTTGTCATAAACAAATATAGTCAAATATTGAGTTTGTTTTACAAAAGCATCAAACTGAGTGACATCACTGTCATGACCAAACAACTTTAAGAGAATCATGGATTTTGAACATTTATAATTCTTTTCTAACTGAGCAAAGTTACTTATATTTAACATTTTGGGCATTGTATTCCAATAAAAACAACAAAAAATCATAATTCAAAAAATACCATAGAAATATCTCAATTAAAATACAGAAAGTGTCAAGCTTCTTTTCCACAACTCTGAACATTTTATATATTTTATTATTGTTTTGACTTTTTTTTTGTAAATTTATCTTCATAAAAACAAATTAAACTGCATTCCACAACAAAACTGTTTACACCTCTGGACAAAACTTTTTATGTTACTATTTCCATCAGTATGTCCAGATAACATATCTAATAATATACCATACTATCTAATAAAATACAATAATCATAATACCATAGTAGTTTATCGTTTTTTAGGGTGTGGTGCCTCTCATCACATGATATTTGGTTGTTTTGGTCGAGATTATTCTAAAATATATTTCCCTTTAATATACATATTAAAAATGCAGGTTAAGACCTATAATATTTTATTTTCCAGGTTTTGGTCTATTTCAATAAATTACTTATTTCCATGAAAAGATTTCAAACTTAAAAATTCTCCAAACCCTTACTTTNCACACACACACACACACACACACACACACACACACACACACACACACACACACACACACACATATATACACACACACACACACATTATATATTTACTGGTGACGACGCGTACGGTAGATTTTTTTTTTTACAAATATCAGACAAATCTTAAATGGAGTTAAATTCCTGGGTTGTCTCAGTGCGATAAATGTTTAATCAAAAGCTGAGTTGTAAATATATGGAAAACAAGAACTGACAAAACCATGCTTGAAAAACTGTTAGATTTTACAAGATGTATATTTTGTGGGATTTGGATAATTTTGTTTTATATTTTTATTTGTAAATTTTATGAACATAGTAAAAAGATGTGAAAAACTAGGAAACGTCGACCTATGCACATTTTGAAAACTGCGATTCGGCTTCGTTTTAAAGATGTGTTTGATTGAGACCGGAAATGATTTAAGATGGAGGGAGTTGGAGCCACCGGGTCCTCAAAGTCCTCATTACAGCAGGGCCTGGTTCAGGTCTTGACATCTGGTTCTCCACTCTTCCTTTGTCCAATTATTCTTTCCCCAAATAGTTGTTCAAACTTGAGGTTTTTATTTTATTTTTCCATCAGATTTTTCTGTCTGACAATCTACCGTATCTCTGCTGAAGAGGAAGTGACAGGCCTCAAAAACACAACAGCCTACAGAACACTAAAAATTACAAGATGATCTTATCATGGAGAGAAAAGATTTTTGCCCAGTGCAAAGGAGACGTTAGACAAATTTTTCATTTTTAGCCTTTGTGTAAAATTTGTTTAGGGAAAATGAAGACTTGATCTGACTTTGTGTTTTACATTAATTAAACTATATCTACATGCTGATAATAAATGACAACATTTTAATGTTTACAGTCAATCCGGTTCAAAACCTTAATCAAACATCTGAAATATTTTTGAAACATTAACACAGAGAAATCAAAGTAAACATAAATTAACTGTTGTTGTATAAAGTTGTTGCTTCTTCAGCTCCTCGTTGACTCATTACAACCAAACATTTTGTTCAGTTTTTAAACATTTCAGCCATTTTGGCCACAGGTTGTAATAATGAAACGGTGTTGATTTCTATTTGTTGAGTCCCAGTTTTCTCTGGAARGCGTTCCCATCTCCCTTTGTAGCTTGCTGTTGGATAAACAGACGATCAGAGTGAGGTTCATGGCAACAACAACAATAAGTAAAGTCGTAACTAGATTTACCTTATTCATCTCTTTGTGTCTGTCTCGACTGACTATCTCCTCAATGATCTCTCCCTCTCCTCTCACCAGCCTGGATGAAATCAGAAACGTCAAACCAGCGCATTTAATCATTGTGTGATTGCTGAACTACAGTTATTCCTCTGGCCCACCTGGTCCGTCCTGTTTCAGGGTCCACCACCTTGCGGATCACACTCTGCCGGGCCTCGTACTCCTCTTTGGTGAGAGGCCTCTTAGTGGAGAGTCGGGCCTTCTGCTCGTCGGTCATGACTGCAGAGGAAGGCAGAAAATGATCGAGAAAAACATGGTGGAAGTCGAACTGCAACTCTAAACAGAACTGCGAACAGAAAAAAATGGTTCATGTTTGTGGAATTATGTTACAAAGAGATTTGACATGTTTGTATAGATGAACTTTAGTCACTGTGGAAAATGTTGTTGATTTTTCTACTGAATGTTGCCAAAATAATTGTCTCCATAGTGGGTGCTAAAATGTTTTTCATAACAAATGAGAGTATTTAATTATATTTTATAAGATTTTCTGAGTTTGATTCGCGTCTTTAAGATCACACAACTTTAAAGAGAGAGACTGAGACTAAAACCACGTGACGTGCCTGGCCCGAGCTCCTCTGCCTCCTCATCGTTCTGCCACATCTCCAGGAAGGATGGAGGTTTCTCCGCTGCTTTCTGGAGCTCCTCTGCATCCTTCTGCAGCTTCTTCTTCAACTTCTTCTCCTTTTTCTTCTGCTTCTTCAGCTTCGCTTTTTGCTTCTTCAGCTTCTTCTTCTTCTTCTTCTTGGCTTTGCTCTTCTTCTTCTTTCTCCTCTCGTCTCTGGAGGATGAAGACGACGAGGAAGAAGAGGAGGCGGAAGAAGAGGTGGACGATGAAGAAGAAGAGCGAGTTCTGCGTTTCTTTCTCTGCCCATCTGAGGGAGAAACAAATCCTCAGTTTCGTTTCGGTTACAGGGCTAGTTAAAGGAGGGAAAAATCAGTCCAAACCTTTCTTTCTGTGAGATTTTTTCTTTGAAGAGGATCTGCCTCTGCTGCTGGAGGAGGAGGTCGATGATGAGGAGGAGGATGAAGAAGAAGATCGTTTCCGTTTCTTTTTATTGTGTTTTTTCTCTCCTCCAGCTCTGTCCGGTGACCTGCTGCGGTCCATCACTGAAGAAAAAGTGGTTCAAGCTTCCAAAGATTGTTTTGAAGAAACGACGGAAACCCGGATGCTCATTACCGGAAACGTGTCCGCCAGCAAACTCGGCCGCGGAACACAACAAAGGTTCCTGGTTCCGGCCYATGCGCTTGAACAATGACATCATCCTAAAATAGTGTTATTTACCTCTATGCATTACTCTTATTAATTCAAGTATCAGAACTATCACTACTTCCTCAGTTTGTACTTATGAGACAAACTTAGCAGAGCAGTTATTAGAAACGATTTCCTGTTCATTTTTTTCAGTTTTAGAGTACAGACAGGAGCTATATTTAATGCATTTCCATAAGTTGTTTTATCCTCTGAAGACTCACATTTATTCAAGGTCTGCAAAATRTGCAGCTAATTTATACCTTGTCTTATAAATAAATTGACATGTTTATATATTATAAAAGTTGTTTAATGTTTAGATTTTTTTTTTCATTTTACATTGCTTTGTCAAAGCAGCGATGAATGTCCAAACATAACTTGTTCAAACACTAAAGTGTAAGCTGAAATAAGATCCAAACAAATCCAACAAATTCATGGAATCAGAACAAACACAGTCACTGCAATATGTGTTCCTCTGAGATCTGCAGTGTCTCACTTTACAGAAAACTGAAAAATAAAAATACAGATCAAATTAAAATAATATTTAACAAGGGCTGTAAAATTAAGGATAACCTAAAAAAGGTCCGAGTCTGTTAGGTGTCAGATTTTTTTTTTCTGTAAAATATAAAAATTCTGTTACAACTATTTCTAATTATATAATTACCACATTGTTTATTTTGTGATGACTGCATAGAAAGCAATAATGTGAGAAGATAAAAGTAGTACTTATTTTAAATGTTCTGCAAAGGCATTTGTGAATCTTTAAAGCTTGTATACTGATAAACATCTTTGTTCCTGATGACGATAGCCCTTAGCACTTTCAAAACAGGAGGCTAAATGAAAAAAAAAAAGGACAACAGACAAGGATCAATCACTCTGCTTTAACTGCTCACAGGCTGAGTAATAAATAACCACTGCATTCACATTTAACGTGTCTCTGTAGCAATAAATAGAAACAATCTCTCAAGATTCTTTTAAAATCTTCCTAAATGTCACAGAACATAACTGAGCAATACTGTTACAAAGAACATGCAGCTGCATGAGAGGATGTAACAGACTATACATGGCTGGACTTGACGCCCAGAAATACGTGAGCAGAAAGAGCCTCAAAGCGATCCTCTTTCCAGTCGGTGCACCGGGGCTTAGACGTGTCGCTCCACAGCAAAAAATAAAAATAGGGGGGTGGGGGGTGTTGTTGGGTGGAATGAGTCACTGCAGCTGGGGCCACTCTGGTTCATTAGGACGCAGCAGCCAAGCGGATTCTCTCCGGGGGAATCTGCAGCACATTCTTGGCGGCTTTGACAGTGTTCTTCATGAGCATTGCTACAGTCATGGGGCCAACCCCTCCAGGAACCGGGGTGATGAATCCCGCCTTCTTCCTCACGCCTGAGTGTGGACAGAAAACATGTTACAGACAAACAGCAGGGGAACTTTAATGCAGACATCCAATCCCACTCTGTCCTTCCTGTACCTTCAAAATCCACATCTCCAACCAGTCTACTCTTTCCAGTGACGGGGTCCTGAACTCTGTTTATTCCCACATCRATCACAGCTGCTCCTTCTTTGATCATGTCTGCTGTAATTAGCTTGGGAATGCCTAAAGGTCCAAAGCAAAACGGAGTAATTAAACAATTTAATCCAGTCAAAAACAGGTGGGGATTATAAACGTTTCAATCAAACAAACAAAAAGACAAACCTGCAGCAGCAACAATGATGTCAGCCATTTTAGTGTGTTGGCAAAGTTGTTCCTTTGGAGTGTAACGGTGAGAAATGGTGACTGTGGCGTCCCCTGAAGCAGAACAGAAAAAAGTATACATAAATAACTTTTATCCTGAACTTAACATTACATGTGAACAGATTTACACTAACCCACCTCCAGGCCTCTCATGTCGGCCGTCTGTGTGCAGCAACATGGCGATGGGCATGCCCACGTTCTTGGAGCGTCCTGCAACGAGTACGTTCTTTCCAAAAGTAGGAATGCCTGAAAAATACAAATATAGAAAGTTTAATTTTTTTTGGCATGTCCACTCTGGGAGTTATAAAGTAAGAAGCAGCTCCCGTTACCTGTGCGTTTGATAATTTCCCAGACTCCCCAGGGCGTGGCGGGAAGCATGGTGGACTGATCCAGGCACATGCGGCCGACATTAACTACATGGAAGCCGTCCACATCCTTGGCAGGAGCGACTGCATTGCAGATCGTACGCTCATCAATGTGATCTATAGTGAAAACAAATACGAGTACAGTCAGAACAAACGGAGCTCTAGAATGATTGATAAAATAAAAACAAATAAAACCCAACCAGAACTGACCATGCTAATTAGTCTCATTTGACATTTCCAGTGTTCACGTACCTGGCAGAGGCAGCTGGACCAGCAGGCCGTTGACACGATGGTCTGCATTGAGTTTGTAGACCAGGTCCAGCAACTCCTCCTCGCTGATATCCGAGTGTTTGAGAATCGTCTCACTTGAGATTCCTGTGAGAAAGCATCCAGCGTGTGACAACCCAAACAGGACAGTAAACTGCATTTTTAGCTCAAAATCCAACCATTGTAAACTCACGCATCCACATTACAGAAATGAGTTTAATCTTCTGCAAACATTTATATGAATTTTATAGCTGGTCACAGTATGATCATGATCAAAAACTCATCTCAGTTGGTGGACACTGGGCTCTTTTTTCATGTTTACACTGTAGGGAAATTGTGTTTACATTTGAGGATAAACAAAATGCACCGACGCTTACCGACRTCAGCTGCAGCTCGAGTCTTGTTGAGCACATAAGAGTGACTGGCTGGGTCGTCTCCAACAAGAACCACGCTCAGGTGAGGCCTGCTGTTGCCGGCTAAAACCCATTTCTCCACATCGGCCCGGGTCTCCTCTCGGATCTGACGTGCCAGTTTCCTCCCTGAGATGACCACCGCCTCCTGCCTGAGAGTTGATAAGAGAGTGACGCGAGTGTAGCAGCAATAACAAATGTGTGGGGGGGATTTATAAGTAACTAGACAGTAAATACAAAATGAAATGGATAGCACCAACTGTAACCAGTCCGTACAATCTCTCTCCAAACCCTCTTATAACTTGAAAGTGATCTGTGTTTATCAGAAGTTTTGAAACCAGAATCTGTTTCTGACATTCAATCATGCAGCTTGGAGAAGAACCAGTTTGAGTTTCTAAAGTTAGAGGCAACACATATCCCCTTGACTGAACCATATTCTTAATATCAGCGTACTGCACTTGCGAGTGTACACAATAATACCCAACTGTTTGTTTCCAAATTTACAAGGCTTTACATTACATAACGCCAAACATTAAGCGATGACCAATAGCTGAAGAGTAATGAGCCGTCATCTGTGATGTAAGAACCTCTGTTTTTCTGCCAAAACCAATTAAACCTCATGGAGAAGTATTTGGTCCCCAATGAGGTGAGAGTGAACCACAATCAAGCAAAACTGTATCAGCAAACTTTATATACAAACTATCACACAAACGTAACTGAAAAAGTCTTTTACAGAGGATAAATAAATCCTTTCTGACTCATTAAATCAATATTATAGAAAGGATCATTAAAGCTGTTTTTTGTATTCAGTTTATCTAGTTATTTAAAAGTATTTAACTCTAATTGCTACTGCATTATTCACAATCAAAAGTTGTAATAACATGTGCATGACACACCACAGGTTGGACATTATGCACTGTGATCATGCAGATCATGTGCAGGAACCATGGGATTTATTTGGGGGAGTCTAACATTAAATTAATTAACTGCCTCTCAGTTATGCAGGCTTCAAACAGAACTTTACAGCTATCCCTGACAAGTCCTCAGCAGCACAACAGAGTACTTACCTGTTACATATAAATATGTGTGCATGTTCGCTTGAATGCAAATTCAACACCTTGCTCTTCCAGGAGAAACCTGGCCCTCCACCGAGTGCAAGCAAGCCCTGTGCCCGATTTCATCAGCCTATTCACTGCTGCAGTGCTACCGGCACGCCGCTAGGGGCGCACCGCAGCACGACCAACTGCGGACATTTAGTACAATCAAATCGAACAAACCGCTCAGCGAACTAACGAACCTCACCCGAGAACACCAGATAAACCCCGACGTGGGAGTAAAACCCCGAGCCGTGTTTTCATTTGCTCGACGGGGGCGCTTCATTCACCGGGAGTCCAACTAAATTCGGTCAGAGCAGAGGCAGAGACAGACAGAGCTAGCGGACCTATCATCCAACGACCCACTCACCTCGAGGCCGACGTGTGCAGCTGACAGACTTGATACCGGGTGTGTTGACACAGTTTCCTGAGAGTCTTGACCGCTGCCATTTCTGACCAGCTGAGAGGAGGAGGAACGCTACGGCTGGCTAGTTACAAAAACACACAACACACGGACCGACAGAGCTCCGTCTAGCAAGGAGGAGAGGAGGAGCAGAGAGCCTATAAACCGCCCAAACTGCGTGGATTTGCGTCATTACCCTATTAGGGCAGGCTAATTTGTCATATAATAGTCAGACAGGCGCATTGAAAAATTACTTGCACTGATACACTGAATTTTTAAACATAGAATTTTGACATGAGGAAAATTTCATATAACTAAAATGTAGTTGTTATGGATATAAATTTTATTTAAGAAACTTTCAAGTTGGGAGCGGTTTGATTATATGTTAAGCCGGCCTGCCTCATTGAATCGGTCCACTCCCACAGCAGCTGTGAGCTCTTTAAACACATTGACCAGCATTTAAAATGTATCATTAAAACAGTGTTTTATCACTTGGAGTATTTTAATCACAGGGAGATATTTAACCTAGCAACATTTGTTGAACATTTTCTAATTTTCGTTTCTCTGTAACCGTCTGTATAAATAAATGTAGGGGGAGAATAGGAGCTTATCTGCAGGACTGTGAGGCCCCTGGATATAATTCAAAAAAGGCTCCACACCCTCATACACAGCAACACCCTGTCTGAACGACTTATGTGGTGTGTTTCTGTGGTATTTTTTCGGCATTTGAAATTTACGAGGTCTTTGTTACTACTTTTTTTGTCTTGAGACTGACATTTTGAGGGTTTTATTTTGGTCCTTTTGAGTCTAGTTTTTGTCAGTCTCTTTGTAATTATTTTTATTTATTTATTTTGCTTTGTATCATTTTGGCCAATAGTGAATTTCTTGTGTCAGTGAAGTTTGACTCAGGAGCTAATCATGAAAATTTCAGTCCTTAATTAGAGGCCTTTTCTGGTATTTGAACAAAAATAAATATCTAGTCTCTTGTAACAAATACTAACATGTTACTAAGATCTTAATATAATAGATAAGATCAAGAAATTTCCATTTAAACAACTTCAGCCTAGAGCTGTATTTTTATGGTGCAACATGTAAATACTTCCGGTAGGGGGCGACAGTCTGCACGTTCAGCTCCTTACGGACAGAGGAAGAGCAACACTGGGTGCAGTTCGTCTAGAAGCGGCAGTGAACGCTAATAAACTGGTTAAACCTAAAGTAATTTTCTAAAACTCGTATTTTGTTCACACAGCCGGGACCAGGAGTTCTAATTGACACTTTTCAACTACTTCTTCGTCAAGATGAGCTTCTTGTTGTAAGTAAAAGTAAAGAATTGCTTCCTGAGTTTTACAGTCGGGGAGCTTGCGGTTAACATTAGCTGCGCTTCTACGAAGTTCACCGGAGGAAGTTTAACTACAACTAGTCGTCTCACGGKATCTCGGAGCTAGTAGCTCAGATGCAAATCGTCTTTCTCACGCATAAGATTGTCAGCTCTTGAAGTTGCACTACTTCTGAGCAATGCTCATTTAAAGACTCAGAGCCTCAGTGTAAAATAACTTTTTTAACAACCAGTTGTGTATGCTAACTTGGTTAGCTTGATGGTTAAAGCTAACTTACGGCTGGGCTATTAGTTCTCAGCTTTATTTATTGTCCAAAATAAATCTTTTGGAACTTTCCAAACACCGATCAAGTTTCTTAAATCTTCGTGTTTACAGTCACGCCGTGATGATACAGTCAGTCACATTTCCTGTCATCTTGCACCAACAACTAGGTTACCACACTGACACGAAAATGATGCTTCATACATCTCTRAAAACACGCCACAATACGTATTTAATGTTTATTTAGCTATAAACAAATGTAACATCATTACACATTACGTTCATAGGTATTCACCTTAATGTCAGCTGATTACATATTCWAGCCTAGATAGATCTGCAGGCCCAGAAAAGACTTTGTGTCTGTCTTTGAAAATGTTTTTTTTTTTCTCACATGAAACCATTTTCTCTCAAATATTTATGTGCACAACCGAAGCAGAATACAGGAAACAGCAGACAGCTAAATCATATAAAAGTTAATGTGTTGCATTCAAAATAGCTATCATGTAGTTCAACTTAGTATTTATTACTTGTGACCTGTTACTTTAAGTTTAAAATTTATATCTGCTTTTTGTGTGTGTGTGTGTGTGTGTGTGTGTGTGTGTGTGTGTGTGNGTGTGTGTGTGTGTGTGTGTGTGTGTGTGGAGGGGGGCATTTTATATTTAAAAAAATTTCAGTTCATAGTTTCTTGCACGTCACAATTGGGTTTGAATGAAACCTGCACCGCACCTTCCAATATTCCCTTGAGGTCCTTCAAATTGAAAATAAAAATGCATTAAATGCTGAATAGGGTTGGGCAATATTGGCAAAAAAATTAATCACAATTAATTGTGGTATTTAGCCGATAACGATTAATTTGACGATTAATCCCCTGGAGTCCCTGGACACCCTTATTTCTTAGTCACATGACCAATTTAGTGGGAAAGATTTGCTCTTTGTAAAAAATTGTTCCAAATTGTGTGAAAATTACAGATTTCAGGCTATACATCATATTTTAAATTGTGTTGATAAATAAATAAATTACAGAACTTTATTTTTAATGTTCGTCATAGTTGAAGTGGAGAGGAGCAGCGAGCGGACTGACCAGAGTAATCCCCAGTCAGTCTGCCTGGTGGCATTAATCGTATTAATCGTCAAGTGCCAAAAAGTAATCGATTAATGTTTTTCTGACGATTAATTGCACACAATACGATTATGCCCAACCCTAATGCTGAAAAACCTTTCTAGAAGTCTTATGCTAACCATGTTTGCAGTAATGCTGTGTGTGACTGATATACACCAAAAATAACATGGCACTATGTTTGACATCAAGACTTGCTATCTATGAGAGATATACCAGTGAACTTCCACTGCACTGGCACAATCTCCCTTTATTTATGCACTGCTGTGTTAATTTYTCCGCAGTGGCAGTCGCTCATCTAAGACCTTCAAGCCGAAGAAAAACATCCCAGAAGGATCCCACCAGTATGAGCTGCTGAAACACGCTGAGGCGACACTGGGCAGCGGGAACTTGAGACAGGCTGTCATGCTGCCAGAGGGAGAGGATCTCAATGAATGGATTGCTGTCAACAGTGAGTGAACAAACACAATAAGCCCACGCACCTAGTCAACAAATACCCTTCTGACCAGAGGCCAATGTTAAGATGAATCTTTGATGATCCATGTAAAAAAAGGGTTAGTTTGCAGCACTCTGTGATGTGTAAGAGTAGAGTGATCATACAGCAAGGAAACTGTAAGTAACCCTAACACAACATCCAAATGTTTGCTACAGTAAGCAGTGATTGTAGCTGGAACTTTTTATCCTAAAAACTAGAATCGAGACTAAATGAGATATAGTTTTTGTTTTAATGAAATTTGTATTGTAATCTCTCACATAAACATGAGTGGTTAAAATAATGATGAAGTTTTAGAACTCAAATTGTTAAAGCAATGACTATGTTCTCTATTCTGAAATGATAACACCGTTACTGAGGACAAGAATTAACAGATCCCAGCCACACCAATCGGCCAAACAACACAGAATTTACTTTTTTAACCTTCCTACCATGTTACAGGGGGAAGAAGTTATATATTGTGAATTAAGTACAAAATTTGAAGACATTAGGTGTTTGCACAGACATCACAAGAAACAATTACTGTACTTATTTTGAGTAAGCAAATCTATGCATGTAGTAAACTTTATGCAATCCTTTTTTTAAATATATAGCTGCATGCTAAGAGGAGAAAAAGATAACATTTTATTTTATGTAATTGCACACATAGATAGATAGATAGATAGATAGATAGATAGATAGATAGATAGATAGATAGATAGATAGATAGATAGATAGATAGATAGATAGAT